ATCAGCAAAAGGTTATTTGTTATGATAGTTTGAAATTATAATTTTTAAAAAAATAAATCTAAATAATACTCACATGCTTGATAAATTATGATGAAATTAATTAGTAAATATTATTAGATGCCAAAATAAATTGAAATTATAATTTTAATTATTGTAAATAAATCTAAATTATACTCACATGCTGTGATAAATTATATGTAATTAATTAATAATTGATTAGATATTATAAAATAGTTTGAAATTATGATTTTAGTTATTATAAATAATACTTCACTCCCTGTGATAAGTTATTAATGTAAAAGGTTATGAAAATATTATTGGATGATAAAACAATTTGAAATTATATTATAAATAATACTCACAAGCTATTAATTAAAAAAAGGTTATAAAAAATTATTAGATATTAAAATGGTTTGAAATTATGATTCTAATTATTTTAAATAAATCTAAATAATACTCACATGCTGTGATAAATTATAATGTAATTAATTATATTGGTAAGTAAAAGGTTATGAAATATTATTGGATTGAAATTATAATTATTATAAATAATACTTACAAACTGTAATAAATTATTAATGTAAAAGGTTATAAAAATTTTATTAGATGTTAAAATAATTTGAAATTAATTATTGTAAATAAATCTAAATAATACTCACGTCCTGTGATAAATTAATGCAAATAATTAATAATTGGTAATTAAAAGGTTATGAAATATTTTTAGATGTTGAAATTATGATTTTAATTATTATAAATAAATCGAAAAAATAACTCACAAGCTGTTAATAATTATAGTGAAAGGCATGAAATATTATTAGATATTAAATTAATTTGAAATTATGATTTTAATTATTGTAAATAAATTTAAATAAATACTCTCTGTGATAAATATAATGTAATTAATTAATAATTTATTAGCAATAGGAATATTAAAATACGTTAAACTTTTAATTATTATAAATAAATCTAAATAATACTTGCTCACTGTGATAAATTATAATAATCAATTATTAATTGATTAGTGAAATGTTATGAAATATCAGATGTTAAAATAGTTTGAAAAAGTTATTTTTTAATTATTATAATTATAAATAGTTCTAAATAAAATACTCACAATCCTAACCTGTAACAAAATATAATGCAAGCAATTAATAATTGATCAGTGAAAGGTTATGAAATATTATTAGGTTGAAATTATGATTATGATTTTAGTTATTATAAATAATACTCACTCCCTGTGATAAATTATTAATGTAAAAGGTTATAAAAATATTATTAGATGATAAAATAATTTAAAATTAATTATTATAAATAAATCTAAATAATGCTCACAAACTGTGATAAATTCAATATAATTAATAATTTATTAGTGAAAGGTATTATTAGATGTTAAAATGATTTTATAGGTAAATCATAACACTCACATCCTGTGATAAGTTATAATACAATTAATTAATAATTGATTAGCAATAGGAATATTAAAATAGTTTAAAATTTTAGTTATTATAATACTTACTCACTGTGATAAATTATAATATAATTAATTATTAATTGATTAGTGAAATGTTATGAAATATTATTAGATGTTAAAATAGAAAATATTATTTTAATTATTATAAGTAGATCTAAATAATACTTACATGCTGTGATAAATTATAATGCCATTATTTAATAATTGATTAGTGTAATGTAATGAAATATTATTAGATGTTAAAATAGTTTGAAATATTATTTTTAATTATTATACGTAAATAAATCAAATAATACTCACGTGCTGTGATAAATTATAATTGATTAAAGAAATATTATTAGATGTTAAAATAGGTTGAAAATATGATTTAATTATTATAAATAAATCTAACATTCTGTGATAAATTAAATTATATGAAATATTATCAGGTGTTAAAAATAGCTGAAATTATGATTTCAATTATTATAAAAATCTAAATAATACTCACATGCTATGATTAATAAAATGCAAGTAATTAATAATTGATTATCAATAGGTCATGAAATATTATTAGATATTAAAATAGTTTGAGATTATGATTTTAGTTATTGTAAATAACAATACTCACGTCCTGTGATAAATTATAACACAATTAATTAATAATTGATTATTGAAAGAAATATTGAAATTATGATTTTAATTATTATAAATAATACTCACCCCCTTTGATAAATTGTAATGTAATTGATTAAGAATTGATTATTGAAAGGTTATGAAACATTAAAAAATGTTAAAATAGTTTGAAACTATGAATTTAAATGTTAAAACAAATATAAATAATACTTACAAGCTGTGCAATTAGTTAATAATTGATTAGTGAAAAGTTGTGAAATATTATTAGATGTTAAAATAATGTTGAAATTATTATTTTAATTATTATTTATAGGTGATAATTATTAGATGAAAAATTTGAAATTATGATTTTTTTTATTTTAAATAAATCTAATTAATACCCACATGCTATGATAAATTATAATGCAATTAATTAATTAATAATTGATTAGCAAAAGATTCTAAATAATTGTAGATACTAAAATAATTTGAAATTGTTATTTAATTATTATAAATAATACTCACATGCTGTTAATTGTTAATTGTGAAAATCTATTAGATATTAAAATGGTTTGAGAATATGATTCTAATTATTATAATAATACTCACATCCTAATAAATTATAATGCAATAAATTAATAATTGGTAAGTAAAAGGTCATGAAATATTATTAGGTTGAGATTATGATTTTAATTATTATAAATAATACTTACGAACTGTGATAAATTATTAATGTAAAAGGTTATAAAATATTATTATATGTTAAAATGATTTGAAATTAATAATTATAAATAAATCTAAAAAATACCCACATCCTGTGATAAATTATAATACAAGTAATTAATAATTGGTAATTAAGAGGTTATGAAATATTATTAGATGTTGAAATTATGAATTGAATTATTATAAATAAATACTCACAAACTGTAATATATTATTAATGTAATTAATTAATAATTGATTAGTGAAATGTTAAGAAATTTAAATAGTTTGAAATTATGATTTTAATTATCATAAATAATCCAAAATAAATCAAAATAATACTCACAAGCTGTTAATAATTTATAATAAAAGGTATATAATATTATTAGATATTAAGATTAATTTGAAATTACGATTTTAATTATTGTAAATAAATTTAGATAAATACTCACTAGCTGTAATAAATATAATGTAATTAATTAATAATTGATTAGAAATAGGAATATTAAAATAGTTTAAAATTTTAGTTAGTATAAATAAATCTAAATAATACTTACTCACTGTGACAAATTATAATAATAAATTATTAATTTATTAGTGAAATGTTATAAAATATTATTAGATGTTAAAATAGGTTGAAAATATGACTTTAATTATTATAAATAAATCTAACATCCTATGATAAATTAAATTATATGAGATATTATCAGGTATTAAAAATAGGCTGAAATTATATTTCAATTATTATAAAAATCTAAATAATACTCACATGCTAGGATTAGAATTAATATAATGCAAGTAATTAATAATTGATTAGCAATAGGTTATAAAATATTATTAGATATTAAAATAGTTTGAGATTATGATTTTAGTTATTATAAATAACAATACTCACTTCCTGTGATAAAATATAACACAATTAATTAATAATTGATTAGTGAAAGAAATATAAAATTATGATTTTAATTATTATAATAATAGCTCACTCCCTGTGATAAATTGTAATGTAATTGATTAGTTAAAGGTTATGAAACATTATTAGATGTTAAAATAGTTTGAAATTACTCACAAGCTGTGCAATTAGTAAATAATTGATTAGTGAAAGGTTATGAAATATAAAATAGTTTGAAATTATCATTTTTAATTATTATAAATAGGTGATAATTATAATGCAATTGATTAATAATAATTGATCATTATTAGATGAAAAATTTGAAATTATGATTTTAATTATTACAAATAATACTCACTTGCTGTTATAAATTATAATTTAATTAGAAATTGAGGTCATGAAATATTATTAGATGTTAAAATAGTTCGAAAGTAATATCATAAATCTAAATAATACTCACGACCTGTAATAAAATATAATTAGAAATTGATTAGGAAAATTTATATCAATTAATAGTTAATTGCTTAGCCATCGACACTTTTTGTGTAATAACAATTAGATTATCCTTTAAACAAAATTAATACAACTTCACATTTTTACTTAATGTCTTAATGAAATGACATGCTGTTGAAATTCAAAGGAAGTTACAACAATAAGTGACCTTGTTGAAATTTCCTTTTTTTTGAATTTCGACGGGATGACAGTCATGCTGTAATATTCAACAAAACTTTTATAACATAAAATGATGTTGATAGCTAAGTGATTGTTGAAACTTTGATACTGAATTTAATACCCACATTTTGTGATGCACAATTGATTCTTGTTCAAAAACTTCCTGCCAAAAGTCTCAAAATCAAAAAGGACGGGTTTTTGAAAATATTATTTTATATACTGGCCTGGAGACAATTTCACGAGATGCTTGTTACGTTGCACAATTCTCAAAAATGGATCTATTTGTTATAAAGTCATACGTTACACGCAACAATCATTTCTGGTTCGCCGATCAGTCAGTAAATTTGAAAACTTTCTAATATAGCAATACTACAAAACGAATTGCTGAAATTAATGGTGATAAAGACACAATAATGAAAACCTTGAAAAGTTTGGGGACATATGATATCATATATATGTATATAATAAAGAAAAGATAATAATTACACAGCCTTTGACCAAAATTGAGACGACTTCAAATAAATTTTTAAATTCAGTGTGATTATAAATTCTAAATATTTAATACTCAGCAACTAATAAATTTTAAATAATAAATTTTAATAAAGTAACTTAACCAATACAAACTTAATTGTAATTAATAGCAATATTTTGAATATCGATCCAAAATCATCAATGAATATCGTCTCATTCAAAAAATCTAATCTTATTCCACCTACATTTGTTGAAAAATTCTTAAATCTGATCAATCATTATTAAATAATGAATTAATCCCGCTGGTCGAATTCACAACCAACGATCATCAGGTTCGAAATTAATATTCTATTATTTACAGGGAGAAGGTGAATCGATTCAAATTGTATCCAGATCTCAGTAAATAATTAAAATTATTATTATTATTATTATTATTATTATTATTATTATTATTATTATTATTATAATCATTATTTATAAGATTTAAAATAATTTATTAAATTTATTAATATTTTATATTTTAATATATAGAGAAGCTGAATATGATTTTACCAAAGTTCATGAAATATTTCATTGTTGTGATGTTTTTGGTGTTAAGGGATAACCTGGAAGAGCAAAAAGTGGTGAATTATCAATTTATCCCAAAGAAATAACCTTATTATCACCTTGCCTTCGCTCCTCAACAAGGATTTAAAAATCAAAGAATCACTTTATCACAACGTTATTTGGATTTAATAATGAATAAGGGTGTTCGAGAAAAATTTATCATTCGAACAAAAATTATCAATTATATTCTAAAATTTTTAAATAATTTAGGATTTTTAGAAGTCGAAACTCCTATGATGACATTTATAGTTAGTGGAGCAACCGCCAAATCATTCGTTACTCATCTCGCGAATTTTAAACGTCATATATTTATGAGGATCGCTCCGAATTATATTTAAAACAATTGGTAATAGGAGGATTTGATCAAGTTATGAAATTGGAAGACAATTTCGTAATGAATCAATTGAAATGACACATAATCCAGAATTTACTTCATGTGACTTTTACATGACTTATAATGATATGTATGATTCAATGATAACGGAAAATTTGTTATCAGATATGGTTAAAGAAATTATTGATAAACCAATAATTAAGAATCAATGTAACAACAAACATGAAAAATATAATAATAGAGGTAATGATAAAGATGACAGCGACAACAATGAAATAGATATATAATTAATTGTCTAGAAAAAATATTGGATATTAAATTTCCTTTATCACATGAATGGAGTACGGAAGCAATCAATAAATTTTTAGAAAATATTTTTATTAAACATAATGTTATTTGTAATCCACCAAGAACCAATTCTAGTTTATTGAAAAGGTAAGTTATAATATAGCATACATTTTTACTTTAATATGATATTGCATTTTAATATACTACATTACACACTAAACTATATTTAATTTATATACTAAAATTAATCCCTAATGCGATTTTTCACCATAATGTATCTATTATCGAAACGACATCGTTATTGAATTAATATTTCCGAAAGTGAAATTATAAATGCTTATACTGAATTAGATGATCCTTTTGAACAACGTGAAAGGTTTAATGAACAATTGAAAATTAAGAAATTTAAGGAAGCTAAAGATGATAAAGAAATTCAATTAATTGATGAAAGTTTTTAATATGGAATAAACGTAAGTTGTTTGTTGTTAATAGTAATATTATTAAAAATGTAATCTTATTGGGGTCGATCGATTGGCAATCAATTATTACTAATAATCTTATCATTACTTTTTAAAGATTACTCAAAACGTAATCATCTAGCTGCAAAAAATGATTTCAGGAATTACAAAATTAACAAAATTAGTTGATGAATCATTTATACTAGACTATCTTTATCTTCAACTTCAACATCGTAACTTTTTAATTGTTTTAATCACCAATTTTTTTATATGATTATTTTACATTTTATAAACAAAATCAAAAAAGTATGAACTTGATAAAAATTTTATCTCTTGATATATTTATTTCTCATTAAAATGAATAAAATTTTTATAATTCTTATATAATTAATACGATAATATGTTTTAAATTTAGAATTCCTATATTAAATAAATTAAAGTTGGGTCGACAATATAAACAAAAATGATCCGTTCACAAGAGGTTATAAAAAAATTTGCTGATTTTAGTATCCCTTTTGCAAAAAAACAAGTTCACACAATTCAAAGAATTGATTCAAATTTTTTTAAGACATTATTAAACCTTAAATTGATTATATTTTTTAATATAATTGGGGATAGAAACGCTCATCCAATGAAAAAGAATTGGAATTCCCGCCAAAGATGGAAATCCTGTTATTCTACATAACCCTGAAGCAAAAGTATGTGATAACTTAATAATAAAATCACATCTTACATCTTTTAAAAAGTTTTTGATCTTTCAGTTCACTAATGTTTCTACCTTAGATTTCTATCATCATCATCAGAATGTATTGATCGTCTTCCAATTTGGATCAAACGCACAACTCAAGATTCATTTGTAAGCAATGCATATGATGCTATTTTTTGGAATCCTCATGAGAAATGTGTGGAAAAATAAAATTTTTCCAAAGCCAGAATTAAGAATTGTGGCTCAAGAATACATCACAAAATGATTATATTTTATTTTTTATTTTTTATTTTTATTTTTATTTTTATTTTTATTATTTAGAATTATATCATGATTTATTAAAATGGTTCCAAATTAATGATAGATTTCTGGCTCTCCAAAGTTAGACTGACCTTTTAGGATAGATAAGAAAAGGCGAACATCAGATAGATGAATCCTATTGGATTTTCGGTTCGCATTCCAAAACATTTGGAAGGTAAATAGTGATTCGATAGTTGAGACAGTAAAACAGTTCTATTGTTTTTTAAAAGAGCCAGAATCAGCATTTTCAAAAAATTCGATTGTACTCGCATGATATTGTGGCCTCAGGTTTCGTTAACATCTTCGATGTGTAACTTCTAATGCATTATCTGGTACGGCCCATTCCAATACGCAAAATTGGAACCACATTTACAAAGGAATAACTGATCAGAACAAAAAGACTTCGTATGATTATTAATAAGAGCACCGATTCCAAAGATATCTTTGGGTTTTATATTCACCACAAGGAGATACAACTGCAACGTGGTTAAAAATGGCAATTGGTCAGAGCTAATGTGTCAGTGAAAATATAAAACACTTAAGGATGAATATACAGGAACGTGAGAGAGAATGAACCGTCTATAATTCTCATCTTGCACTAATATCTGAATTGGTAACTTAGAGTCTGGGTCTATTTCTGAACTAGACAATAGACAAAAACGGAAAAATTCATAAATCAAGAAAAAGGTTGAAATATAACAATGAAATTATTTTAGCATACAAATATATCCTCGAATTTTACAGTGTCTATTTCATTTTAACAAATTTTTTTTTTAATTGTTTTCGTGAATTTATTTAATCATCATATGAAGTACGAGAAGATGATAAGAGGTAGAGATTATGATAGAGATGAAATAATAATAAAATATTATTAGTTTTATGCATAATGTTTTATTGCCAATTTTTAGTGCAAATAACCCTTTTAATCGTAAAAAAAGAAACATTATTTTATGTTATTTAGCAACAGTAATTAAACAAACAAATAATAAAGAAACATGACCTGTGTGATGTATAAATTTAAATCGTTTCATCCCAGAATAAAGTTTATAACAAGAATAATGGTAATTAAAAAAAAAAAGAACGATATATCAAAATTTGTTTTAAATATATTTACCCGAATATATTTAGTAAGAAAAATTTATTCGTACAATTAATTATATTTACTCATCCTATAAATATCTCGAAGCTCAGATATATTAAATCATGTGCGTATATAGAAAAATTTAATAAATAATATATAAAGCTTTTTTTTTAGCGAAGGGTAGAATACAATAATTTAAATGAAATAATTTTTTCGAATCACGTGCGTTTTTATTATCACTATTGAAGGTTTGCAATATAGATAATGCTTTTTTTCATAATATGAAAGATGATTTTATTTTTATTGAAAGTAATATTCTTATTCATGACGGGATCATTAAATTTTAATGTTTTTGGGTTAACGTAAATTATGACTGAATCTTTAAAATTCCTTACAAATGCTCTTGGCCCAATTCAATATATTGTTCAATATTTGGAAATTTTTAACACAATTGGTAAAATTAAGAGTTCGGATATTTTCAGATTGGGAATTATTCTATGGGAAATATCTGGTGGCAATCATCCTTTCGAAATGGAATCTTGGTCAAATGTTGATTTGTTAAGTAATATTGTAAAAGGAAAAAGAGAAATGATTATATTTAGGACACCTCCTAAATACAAAGAAATATATACTGGTATAAATTTATAACAATTTATTAAAACTATTTATATTTATTATATAATAAAATTATATAAATTGAATCTAACTAACAAATTGCTGGAAACGCAATGGAAATTCACGACCAGACATTTCTCAAGTGGTTACAAATCTTTCCGAAGTCATTATCTCTGATGCAAGTTTCGAAAATGAAGCTCTTCAATCACAACCTCACAATGTTGCTGATGAAATCATTTCTGTTAAATTGGAAAAACTAAATTGTATGTTACATTTGTTATATTGTTTTACATGTTGTTGAATCCTATAAAATATTTATCAACTATAAAGATTCTCTTTATTAAGACAAAATGAAGAACTAAATATTCATTCAGATCCTCAATTTGTCAATAAGTCGGCAGAATTTGATGTTTCTATTAAGGATCTATTTATGATTTTTATTGATATCATTAAAAAAAAGTATGTAGAACAGCAACCAATTATGATGAAAAAATATATTAAAGAACATAAAAATCTCCAGTTGAAGTTCTATATGAAATGATTAACCATCTATCGCATTCTTGGTTCACTAGCATGATAGGATTTTTTTACAAGAATGGTATTGGGACTGTTACTGATAACCAAATGGCAACTAAATTCTTTAATATAGCTGCTAATGAAATAATTGATGCTCCTCCTCTAATTCCTCATCCTTAATGTAACTACACAATATCAACAAAGAAATTGCAACAATTCTTCTTGCAGATATGCATTTAGATGGCATAGGCGTTGAAAAAGATACGAAAAAGAATTTCAGATTTATTCTAAACTTGTTAATGAAGGGTCCTTTATAGCTTTGGCTGTAGTAGCATGTTATTATCAAAATGGATTTGGTGTTGAAAAAAACGAAGAAAGCCCATTTGAATTATATTTAAAATCTGCAGAGAAAGGACTTCCTGTAGTCCAATGTAGTGTTGGAGGAAGTTATGCGCTTGGAATTGGAACACAAAAAAGATGCAGCTAAAGGATTTTCTTAGTGTATGAAATCTGTTCTTGCTGGAAATATTGATTCAATATGTAATGTTGGGGATTTTTATAACAATGGTATAGGTGTGGATAGAGATTATCAAAAAGTATTTCAATGGTTTATAAAGGCTGCTGAAAAAGGAGATTCTACAGCTCAATATAATTTAGGAGATTGTTATGAAAATGTTTATGGAATTAATAAAGATCAAATAAAAGCATTTGAATGGAATAAAATAGCTGCAGTATCTAATGGTCAATATGAGGTTGGAACATGCTTTTATGAAAGATATGTAACTAAAAAAGATATTGTAAATGTTATCGACTGGCTAAATAAAGCAAAAGAAAATGGGAATATCGATGCCAATGAGTTATTAAAAGAAATCATAAATAAGATAAGTAGTTGTTAAAATATTAAATATTTCTGTAATGATTAAAAGATTCTTGCATTAAATCTTATTTGTCAGTAAATGCATTTCTTGAATGCAATATTTTATATAAAAATTTTCCAATTTTGTTTAACATCTTGTTGACACTGTAGTAATAATAATTAATTAATTTGAAATGAATTGAATTGATAGAATGTTAAGAAAAAGATAATTTTTTTTTATGTGAAAGATATATTGGCGTACATGAAATTTAATTAACGATTTTTCAAGATGTTTATAAACTTATTTATAAAATTAAAATAAATATTAGATAATATTGCAAATTCCAATTATTAATGTTAAATTGTAATTATAAAATTCACAAAAAAAGAATATGATTAATTTGCTCACCATCATACTAAATATTAAGCTTCAACGAAAATATTCTTTATTTGTATTTTGATGTTCGTCATATGATTTACTCAAGGATCTTTTTTAGTAGAATATCGTGATATGGAAAAAATTTTGTAAAGGTTTTAATTATTTTTTTTTATATCAGATATAATTATTGGAAACTCGATGAATTTCGTTACAATAATCCGATATGTTAAATTTTTAGACAGGCCACATACACAGAATGAAATATGAATATTTTAATGTATAATACAATTTAGGAAAAATTTATAATAAATATATAAATAAGTAAATAAATCAATGTCGTTAGAATATCAAAAAATTATCTTAAAAAAGAGATATTCTTTGATCACTTCATTGACATCCCAATCGGAAACACATGAAATCCATGGAATTCATCTTGGTTATCTGTATTTAAATGACTGTTAACGGGTGTAAGAACTGGTCATTCTTTCGTGAATTCTTTATTGAAATTGGAAGTATCAGTTGGAGAAGAATAAAATACCAATTTTCATATTAATAATTTAAATTAGTTTTTATATCACGACCAATATGTATCTGATCAAATTTTAAATTTACAATTAACGGGTAAAATGGAGGTAGAACTTTCTTATAAAACATATCTTCCCAGTTAACCCCTTTAAAGAATGATGATTTAATATCCTCATCATCATTTCTCTCTGAGCCAAGACGACTTTCTGAATCTCGAGTAATCAAATAATTTCGCTATATACATAATTGAAATTACCCTCTGCAATATTGAAACAGATTCCCTAAACATAAATTACCGGATTAAGAATCTCATCTTCCAAGATCGCATCAATATCTTACCTTCATCATTACCTCGGAGCGGCATTTCATATACCAATCTACTGCACTACAATAATGTTGTCCCAAAAGAATCTTAAAATTTCTCCAATTTTAATAACTAATCTTTTTATAAATATTATATTTTATCTCTGGTGCTGTAAATTCTGCGTTCCACAAAATATTTGTTGTGTTTCTGTGCCACATTTCTTCTTTGCAAAGACCATAGTCTGCAATTTTGATATGTCCGACAAACATAAGTAATATATGAATCCATTTTTTTTACCATTTTCAAGCCAAAAAGCGTACATTTCAAGCAGCCAATCGAGAACGTCATCCATTTTTATTAGGTACTTTTTTAAAATTTTCATTAAAACCAATAGGTTTTATGCGGCGGAAGTTCCACTAGCTTTAGAATATTTGCATAAGCAGAGTATTATATACCAAGATCTCAAACTTGACAATTATAGAAATTTATAACAATCCTCATAAAAATTCATTACATTTTTACAAACCTATTTGAATTGCGATAAATTCATACCTTTCTACTTCGTCATTTCAATGATAAATTCTTTCATTAACACTTTATAGCATAAAGTTGCTTAGAATATTTTTCTTTTCAAGCATATGATGATTTTTTTTAATCTGTTTTAAAGAGTTGACCGGTCTAATATTAACACCATGATGCATATTAGAGTGTACAAACGAACCTTGCCAAAGTTCCCTTTACCCAAAACAGCAAGAAAGTTAAAATCATCCAGGCAAATTTTACGGTATGCTTAATAAAAGAATTATCGGATTGAACTAGGGATTAGATGAGGGGGCTGTGTTTAGATTGATGTCGTAAATAAAAATATAAGTTATTATAAATTAAAACAATAAAAACTTATCATCAAATAATAATAATACCATTTGGATTTGCTGTGCTGGAAAGTTAGGAGGAATTCCTTATGATTGAAGAGGTAAAGTTATAACAGGCGTTTGACCATATCAATTACGGATTTCCTCAGTACCATAATAATCATATTATTTCGTTGAGAATATGGTATTTGGATTTTGGGAAGGAAGGAGACGAGAGTATTGATGGTCCTGTATTTCCCAACGCTTAACTCTTGACTACATTTAGAACGACTGAAATTCTTGCTATTCGAATTTGTTGGATCATCTCATTGGCACGTCTCATAGTCATTCTGCAAAAATCTAGTACGAGATGGGTGCATCTTGCATGACATATTATATTACATTCTGTAACCAAATTTGATGTTAATTAAATTAATGATAACAAAAAAGAGCTGACTTCACGGTACTCATATATGCCAGTACATCTCTTGGTACTCCTTTTTCCAAGAAGAACATGTGACCACAATGACAACACCAATTTGCTATAATATCGGTGATTTCTTCCTTTAAATTAAGTTTTAAACATTTTTTATTCTTAATTCTTATGTATTAAAGATGATTGATTGATTCTTTACCTTTTCTACTATCTCATCATTAGTCTTGGAAATACATTCTGTGACCATCTCTTAGTATAACATGTTAATTAACAGTCTGTAAGAAAAAAAAGGTATTAACAAATTTATATAAATAAATAAGAGAAAATTTTGCTATGAAAAACCTACCATCACATTGAAATCCTTCAATCACAAATAATTCTTCACAATATGAACAATTAATAATCTGATAGAATATTTGTTGAATAAATTTGTTCCGTTACGTGCGCCTGCTCGACCAAAACCTGCATCAGGGGATAATTCGAGCATTTTCTTTAACTAATCATTAGGTTTCAAAAGATATACTGTAAGAGAGAAATACATTAATAAATCATTTATCGTTTTTAATTAGCACTTAATTTAATTGATTGTAGAAGTAAAATAAAATATTTAACTCGATACATTTTTTAATAATAAAATTTTACCACAGTAATTTTGTGATGATCACTCACGGATCATATTATTAAATGTGTTCAATATAATAAGAAAAGATTTTATATTACGGAAAAAATGATGAATACCTTCGAATGATTGTCGATATAGGACACGATAGAACTCAAGTTATCGTGCATGGAAACGTTTAATAAAATCAAAGATCTCAATGAAGTTCTGGTATATACTATACTGATTGATCCTAATTCTTCAATGTGACATGATGGAAACGACTGAAAAATATAAATCTAACAGAGTAAATTAATCAAAGTTTTGGAAGATTTTGCTGGAGCTACCAAGTGGAAGTAAATATACAACCATTAGTATAACATAGTCTAAAATATAGTATACTAGTTAAAAAATTTTACCAGATGATGATTCGGATGATGATTCCAATATTTCCAATATGGAGATTGTAGATACCACCAATCATGAAAATCGTGTTATAGATATATTTATACTCTAACCTGGCCAACGATATCGGCAACATGTGATACCGTAGTTCCTGATGCTACTCCAAGATATAATACTTTCGATTTAGGTGAGATATAAATATTATCAAGACCATCCAGACAGCTAATTTCGAACGAAATGGATTCCGAACTCGATATTCTACTTTATTCTCATCTTTATCTTCTAACGAAATTCTTTTTTCCCCATAAACTGATTCTCCAACTACGAGATTTTTGGTAACAAGATCCTCTTTGCCGCGTGCAACAAAAACTCCTACATAAATAAACAATTAAATAAATAATTAAATAAATAATTAAATAAATAAATACTCAATAATAATTAAATATTTTAATTAACAAAAATTCATTTATAAATAATTTATAAATAATTATATATTTAATTGTATACATTTACTAATGTAATTTTTTTATGGTGGCCATTCATGAATAAAGAGGAGGAGACTTCGTTAAATAAATAAATAATTATATACTACCTTCATATCTATGTGGTTCAATGATAACTTTAGAACCTCCTCTAACTCCAAAATTACCTCCACTGCGTCCTCCAACACGCCCACCGCGTCCTCTACCACCTCGATCTGAATTACCATTTCGTCCAAGTCCACGTCTTAAACCACCTAACAGATTATTTTGAATAAATTTATTATAAAATGTTTTAATCCTTCACCAAAATAAAAAAAAAGTTCACAATTAATTTACCTCCTCCTCCACGACTTCCACCACCACCACGACCTTCTCACGACTTCCCATACCTCCACGTCCAGTATCTAAATAAGAATCCATATAATAAGAATAACGTGAAATTAATTGAATTTGAAGAAAAAATTTTATAATAATTAATACTTACTGAATGCCATGATTATTATAATTATTATTATTTTTTAATTAATTAAAAAAAATATGATTATCAGATCTAAATTAAAACATTGGTTATTAATCACGTGAATAGGACAAACCTGCAGTATGCCTCTACTTCCACGTATTGTTATTATCAATCGAAGAAGGTAATTATTATCATTAGAACATAATACATAATAATAATAGTATATAGTGATAATAATAGAGAGAAAGGAGAAAAGGGAGAAGGATTTTGCAATCAAAGTAATTTAGTAATTTCGTTTCGAAAACCATCCATGCATATCTTGGATTTCGTACTGTATTATACGATCCAATACTAAGAAAATTAACATTAAAAATTGTTTATTGATTTTTATTTTCATTATTTCATTATTTTATCATTTTTTATTTTATTTATATTATTTTTATTATTTTCATATTTTCGTTATTTTATTACTGTGTTTTATCTTTTTGTATTTTATTTTTTTATTATTTTGAATTAATAAAGTTTTTAAATTTTGCTTCAAATACAATACAAATAAATGTATTTAATTTACTTACATGTATCTTCTCCATGATTTGTTCGAAACCTTGTGATAATTTTCTTTATTTAAAATTTATTATTATTTAAAATTTAATAAAATATAAAGCAATGAAAATATCGCTTTTTCATTTGTGGTAAAATAAAATTTTTTAAAAATATAAAGAAAAATTTAAACATTTATAAGATTTTATTGATATTATATGAATTTAAAATATAGAAAAAATATATAAGAAAAAATGTAAAAAAATATAGAAAAAAATATAAAAAAAATAAAATAAAAAACAACTCCACCTCTACAACTTCTTATATACTTTACGACAACCTTTCTTAAACTTTCTCCACAACCTCGCTCTCCTACTTTCTTCTTTAATTACTCTTACTTCATTCTCTCCCCATGTCACCACCTTCTTCTCCTTCTTCTCCAACTTCAAATCCAACACACATCCTTTCGGAATGGGGATCCACGCCACATCATCCCCTATTCTTATTAACATTTCCTATAATAATAAAAAATCATTAATTAGAATAATCATACGTATTATTATTATTATTACAATAGATTATAATAGAAATATTTTTTACTTACATTGTTAAATAGTCTTTCCCAGAAAAACATTCTGGCTTCATAACTCTGGATTTTTAAAATTTCTTCAGGGTCTCGGTAGTCAAAGAACCCAGAACCTTCTCCGACTATCATGGCAGTTACGCCAAAAGGATCTGGAGATACAAAAGATTTATAAAAATTTAATAAAAGTTTTTATTTTTTTTTAACAAAAAGCAGTACTCAATAATAAATAAATTATATTTTGTATGTACCGCAATTATCAGTTTTTGGTTCGTTGTTAAAAGCCATATTATTATTATTATTATTTGATGATTTATTTGAAGATTTGAGAGAAAAAGAAAAATTTTAAATCAAATAATTACTTGCCGGTTTAAATATGTTTTTTCTCATGCTAATAATTATTAATTGTAATAATTAATTATACTATCAAATCTGATGTAATTATATTGATTATTAACTATTATATTACATCAGTTTGATAGTTAATAATAACCATTATTATGAATAACGCAACACAGAAAAAAAAATATTAAGGAAAGTTAAAAATGAGTCATTAGGTTTAACTATTATATTACATCAGATTGATAGTTAACAATAACCATTATTATGAAAAAAATAATAATGAAAGTTAAAAATAGTCATTAGATTATAATTTCTAATCGGGGCACTTAAATGGATTAAATAATTATTATATTACTTGTAATTATTAATAATTAACTATCAAAATCCGATCCGATGTAATAATATTAACTATTAACTATCATATTACATCAGATTGATAGTTAATAATCATTATTACATCAGATTTTAATAGCGCTTCACAGAAAAAAAGTTAAAAATGAGATAATATGGTAAGATATGATACCATTAAACAATATGATAAACGAAATATCATACTTCATATCAAAAAAAAAATCAGTTAATAATTACAAAAAAAAAAAGTATAATACTTAAAATAGTTATCATGCATTCGATCAAAAGAAAAATCAGTTGATAATAATTTGATACTTCATATCAAAAAAAAAATCAGTTAATAATTACAAAAAAAAAAAAGTAAATACTTAAAATAGTTATCATGCATTCGATCAAAAGAAAAATCAGTTGATAATAATTTGAATAGCGCAGCACAGAAAAAAATAATAATGAAAGAATTAAACAATATGATATTATACTTATCAAAAAAAAAATCAGTTAATAATTAAAAAAAAAAAAAAGTATAACACGATTAGAATTTCCTAAAATAGTTATTATGCATTCGATCAAAAAAAAACCAGTTAATTAATAATTATCATTAATTTTATCATGGGGTACCAACGGGGTGCTACCCTGATTATAAATTCCAAATCGGGGTAACTTTAATGGATTGACGTAATATCATGAGAATATTAATTTAAAGTTAAAAAAGTTTATCAAAAGAATTATTAATTGTTCTTTATTATTCTTTTCGGTTCTTTTTTGGATATCATTTAATTTTATAAAATTTATTAAATTTACAATATCGATTAAGTTAATTACATAATTTATCATTGATAAAAATCACGGGTACTAATGGGGTACTAGAACATTTCGTAAATTCAATCAATTTAAAAATAATTTTCTTTATTAATTGATAAAAATTTAATGCATTTAATTTAATAACAACGTCATACTAATCTCTTTTCTAATTTATACTAGTTTAATACAGTACATGGAATGGAATGTTGATGATCATCTACTGCGCAATATGCATAGTAACCGCTATCAAATTTAGAAGATTAGCAAGAATTATTAATTGTTCTTTTTTTTATATTTTTTTATCATTTAAATTTATTAAATTTACAATATCGATTACAAGTTAAATCACATGATTTATCATTTATTGAAAACGCATAATAAATATATTGATAAAATAATTTAAAAATAATTTTCTTTGATAAAAATTTAATACATAATTTAATTAAATTTACAATATCGATTATAAGTTAAATCACATGTTAATCATTTATTGAAAACGTAAATATAATAAATATAATAAATATAATTGATAAAAATAATTTAATTATACATGATTCAAAAATAATTTTCTTGATAAAAATTTAATACATAATTTTATTAAATTACGGTATCGATTACAAGTTATATCACATGATTTGTCATTTGTTGAAAACGTAAATATAATAAATATAATAAATATAATTGATTAAAATGGAGTTTAATACATGCAATGTTTATCTACTGCGTAATATGCATAGTAGCCGCTATCAAATAGAAGATTAACACAATATCATGAGAATATTTAATTTAAAGTTTATCAGATATCATTGGAAATGATAGAAAAGAATTTTTTTCTTTTTTGTTCTTTTCGGTTCTTTTTTGATATTTTATATCATTAAATTTATTAAACACAACATCGAATCACATGATTTATCACTGATAAAGATCACGGATAGAATATTCCTCAAATATAATCAATATAATAAATTTAATTAAAAATAATTTTATTATATGATTTAAAAATAATTTTACTTGATAAAAATTTAATCCATAACGTCACGTTAATCTCTTTTCTATTTGATACTAGTCATGCCACCTTAGGCGAAGTTTAATACTTGATTATTTTCTACTGCGCAATATGCATAGTAGACGCTATCAAACTTCAAAAACAAAATTAATTGAAATAAAGCATAGTTAAATGTTTAATTAGAAAATGGATTTAGATCAAACACCCATTTTCTAATCTTGAATAAACTACAGTTGTTTCTATAAACTAATAATTCGATATTAGATTCTACTATCAAAGCGGATACATAATAATCAATTAAATAATTTATTTTTACACTTGGTGTTTAACTTTCTAAATAATCTTTTATTTTTACATTCTCAAATCTAAAGTATGTTCTTTAATCTCAATTTTATTAGGAAATGTAAATAAAAAACTTCTGATCGAAGGAAATATTTTATTTAAATAATAATTATTATTTTGAATGAAAAAAAATATTACAAAATATTATAAATATTTGATCTTATGTATTATGTATTACTTGATGAATTGAAAAAAAAAATATTTGTTCAATATATTTTACAGATAAATGTTAAAAAATGGTATATTTTCATATCTATATAAAATATTGCAAAAAAAAAAAAAAAAATCCAAAATATTTAAATGATTACATGCAAAATGACCTATATTTCAGATAAAATATTTGATCAAAATATTAAATAATAATGAATAATATAGTTAGAACAAGTGATTTCGAAATGTTTATTTGGAATCCTTGAAAATTCTTTCTAAAATCCAGTCATAATATCCCAAATAATCTTAACAAAGTATTTAAATCTTAGGGATTTGACATTAAAACGTTTATTAATTGTGTTTATATAAAATAGATTACACAGATATAAAATGTAAAATAATTTGTGTGACTTTCAATATATGTACATATGTTGTCGTAACGTGTGTAATGTGTATGGCGAGGCGAAAAAAATATATATAAATCGGCGTGACGTTGTTTCATTAACCCGACTCATTTTAATAGCGAAAAAGAATCTGGATGGATGATTTAATTATCGAAGATATTTTTCAAAAAGAAAATATCCCATTTTATCAAGTCTTTGAATTTCAGAATGTATATTTATTTAAATGATAAATTTTCATTTAATATTAAATTGAATTTATTTTATTATTAGAATTTGAATTTACCGTTAATTATTTGTATGTATATTAATTTAAAGAGATCAAATTCATATGACGTTATTTTTTGGAATCCTCCTGAGAAATGTGTGGAAAAATAAAATTCCTCCAAAGCCAGAATTAAGAATTATGGCTCATGTATACATCACAAAATGATTATATTTATACTTTGACATTTATTTGTTTTTATTTGTTTCACATGTAGTTGGCGTATCTTCTAGTGAGAAACATATCGTCTCCTATGATAAATTCACGGAAATGGTTTTCCCCGTATCAAAAATCTATCCAATCATGGAATAAGCTTATTATGTTTCACTCGGTTAACAGGTGACAAAATTTTTAGCTGTTTCTATTCGCTACGGTAAGATCATATCAAAATGAATGAGTAATTAAGAATCACATGAAAAAAAAATATTTAAAAGAATTAATAATGTTATAGGTACTTCTGAATACTTATTGACACAATTTATGGAATGAACATCTACATATTGTTAGATACAGTTCATCCTCATGCATACAGAAACGTTCTTGATGGATTGAAGGAACGAATTATTGTTTTCCATGAAGGAGAGAAAGGACGGCATGAACTTTGGAATAGGCATCTTTATTGAGAATATATTATTAAGAATTATACAGTATTATTGGCCATCCTTTTTTAAATTAAAATCAATTATACAAATGATCTTTTATTGATTTTTTCTTTCTTAAGTCGCCTATTCAATATGATAATTGGGAGATACTTCGTTTTTATTTTCAAATCTTCGATTCTATATTGAAGAATACAAGTTTAATGGATTTATATATGGTGTTACATAAACGCCATGGTATTGGAACAGGTTTTATCCTGAATATTTTAGTGGTTCTGTAGATGAGGAAGAATTGAATTATTTAATAAAGTCATGTTGATAAATATACTAAATGTTTTATTCATCATTTTAATCCAGGTAAATTATATGCTTCAAATTTACCTACATATCATCACTATTGCTAAATTTTTAACTAACAAATTCATGAAATTAATCATTAAATAAAAATGTTTTTTTTTGAATATGAATTTTTTTTAAAAAATATAAAGAAATTTCTGCCTGGACTTTGTATTTCTGTATCCGTGGTTTTGATTATCATCTATTAAAAAACTAATGATAAGGAAATGTCTGTTATAGATCGAGGCTGGCTCTTCATAAGATGATCCAGCGAAATTCTGATTATTTTTTAATATATTAATTGGAATTTTTTTTTTTAAAAAAAAGTTAAGGACTTGGGGGAGAAGGTTATAAAACTTTGATGGAAGCGAATTTTACATCTAGAATTGTTAGACTTTCCTCGAGCAGGAAATAACAATTCATACCATTACGCTAGACGTCAATGGAATGTTGTGGATGATCCATTGTTGAGATAAAAACATTTAAATAAATTTTGATAAAGTGATGCAATAAATGGTTAAGCTCTCCACAGGTGAATATTAGTCATTTTTTTTTTGTTTTTGATTTATTTTTTTAATGTATAAAATGTATACAAGATACTCATATGGATAATTTTTCAAATACCAAGGCATACGTTTCTTTAAAAAATGAAGAATCAAAATTGATTATTTTTCGAACATGCAAATTTACTCTGGATCTTTAACTTCCATCCATCCGATTCATATTCTGATTATAAGATAGCAACAAAATGGCAGGAAAATATTCAATTGTACGACCCCAAATTCGGGAGACATAATAGAATTGATGAGAGTCAAAATTATTTGTCACAACTACAGGAATTGAATAGAAGAAAGAATTCTCTTCAGATTTACATTCTTTGTCGAATTGCACTTGGTTTGTATTATAATAATCATTAAGTTTTCTGTTGTTTGTTTTATTAATTTATTACACAGGCATAAATATATTTAATGTTTATGAGAAAAAAGTGAGAAAAACAATAGTGCATGAATGTTAAAATTTTTATGCCAATGTTCCTTAATATACAATAAATAATATAAGAAATAAATTTCCGAAATGGTTTATAATTATAATTTACTTATTATTATTAAGATTTCACATCCAATCTTCGTCGATCAATTTGTAATTGATTGAATGATAATATAAATAAATAACTTTTAAATAATTTAGTATTTATATACATACAGTATAAATTTATCAGCGAACCGATTCAGATTTACGGAGAATATCTTATTCAAATTTATTCAAATTATTACAATCAATCGTTAATTAATTTAAATATTAATCAACACCTCTTCACGTATACTGTCAGACCTGTATATAATCACCACCTTGGGACCGAATTTTTGTGTGATTATAAGCCTAGGTGATTATAATTTATAATTATATCATATTGATATAGAAAAAAATTTTTGTGACTGAATAAAGAGGTGATTATAGATGATACACAGGCCTGACTGTAGTTTGAAATTATGATTTAATTTTTATACTCAACAGCTATTTAATAATATAATATAAGTTAATTAAAAATATACTTTTGTGTAGTTGATAACTACATTCCGTTCAGTAATATTCATGATAATTATTAAAAAATCGATGAACTTGGATTTCTATAATTCTATTTATAATTTAATCTAATAAAAAAAAATTTAATTTTGATTTTAATAATTCATCTTTAATTGATGAAACTTTATTTTATGGGTTAATTATAACACTTTGATGTATTGTTCGCAATCACATTCCAACACCAATTTTTAATATGTAATTAGAAATTGGAAAATATCATTATCATATGTTCTAATCTTTTAAAAAATAAAAAGAACAATTATTAAAATAATTAAATAATAATTCACAAATATTATATATAAATTATATTATAATATTATATTATAATGTTATTTTATGTAGAATTACCTTTCACCTCACCTTGAAATTCATCAAACACACTATGTCTTAATACAATATCCTTTTCCAAACATTTTATTAAGTGCTTATTTAAATTATTAATATTATTTATTTAATATATATAATTATCCATCCTTATGATTATTGGACATCCTAAAAAAATATAATAACCTACAACAACATGACAACATAATAATTTTTCGTTGATGCAATAATTAACAAAGAATACCTTGAAATCTTGATTCCACTAAACAAATAATTTAAAAGAATTTATTTACATCATAACTTGATTTTATTTTTTTCAGGTTGTCATAATAAATATTTTTAAAATTTATAAATTATAGATTAATGAGATATACTATTCATATTCATACCATATGTATTTAAATTATTTTCTATTAATAATAAGATATATCACAAATAAAACATAAAGATATTCAACAAATGATAGTTGAAATTGTAGCTATAAACTAATATTCATTATAGTAAGCAACGATTAACCCAATATATATATTTCCAAATCAACGGTGTCTCTCCTACCTTGATCACCCACTAGTTACAAAATTATCTTATTCTTTAAGGTTTTCAATACTAATTTTATTGATGTATTAAATAATTTTTATTCCCAATAACAATGTAATTCTGATTCCATAAATCATAATTTGGAACCATAAATAATTTTATAAATTCAAATTACGTACCATAGATAATATCTAAATCTGTTAAAACAATAAGTATCCTGCTTCAACACACATCTAAAGAATGACCAAATGACACAGGTTATACAAATAAATATTGTAAATAATTAATTCAAAATATTTTTAATCATATTCTATAAGAATAATCTCATTTGTCATCAGGAAATTGGGAGATTTTAGCCCTTCTGGTGAGTTAAAATATTAACAATAGAATCACTTTTCTCAATAATCATCTTTTTATGATTTATTTTTGATCATGTAGTTCTGATTCAGTAAAATATTTAAAAAATCTATATATATATATATAGTAATATATATATATTAAAATTTCTTTTGTTATACATTTTAATACATTAGTCAATAACCTGCAAATTTAAGCACTTATAAACCACAAACCCTTTTCCTTATGAAAGTAAAATGAATGAATGTGAATAGAATAAAAATAATATAGAAATAAATAAATAAGAATGTCAAAATGAATGGTAATAAAAAAAAAATAATAGAAAAAAAAACCAATAATTATCAAAGCTATGTACAAAAAATGGCAGTAATTTTAAAGTAATAATAAAATATTTAAAATATTTAAGATTAAAAAAATTAAATAATCAGAACAATAATAAATGGTAGTATAGTAACAAAATAAAAGAATCTGTCTGTAATTCCAATAGTCACCAAAAAATGGATAATATAAACTTTGTATAAATTAAATTAAAAAAAAATTATATTAATTATAAATTTAATCAAAAATAAAAATTACTTAAATATATGGATCTGTACTTGTTTCATGTTTCATAAATTCATAAGTAACTCCCAAAATATTCTGTTCAAATGGATACCGAGAATGTCTAGATTTTTCAATATAATAATTAATTTTGAGTTGATTATTTAATGAAGGATGTAAATCACTTATTTGTTTTCCATTCAAATAAGTTTTAATCATTGATCCTAATTAAAATTATAAGAAAAATTAAATTATTTTTGAATTTATTTTTTAATTATATAAATATATTATATTATATACCTGTTAAAAGTTTTCTTGCTGTTAAATCTAAAATATATTCAATATCAATTATTTTTTGAAGTTGATTTTTTATATTATATGGTGTTTTCAAGAAAGTGGAGGTGGATGATTATGAATGCCTACTGAAATTGTTACAATAAATGAATAATCCTTTAAATTTCCTGGAATTATATGATAAAATTTAACTAGGCATAATTTTGCTTTCTTATTTATTATTCATTTAATAATGTGATTTCCAATTTTATGCAAAATGCTTTAAATAAATAAAATAATTAATAATTTAATCATATTATTTAATATTTCAAATTATTAAATAATAATAAATTACTTATAACAGGTATTAGATCTTGTACTATTTGGATGTACCATAAAACATTCATCAATTACATTTTCATCTTATTAATTTCATATATTATTATTATTAAATAATTATATAAAAAAACTTACTTCAAAATCAATACCATGAGTAGAGATGGGAGGTACAATATGAATTGAGCCAGGAATTTAACCAGATTTAATTTAGCCAATTGAGTCCAGGGATTAGCTCTGGTGCAATTGAGTACAATAGCTAAATGCTGGTGCAAAGGTTAAATTCTAGTACACTTCTAATTGGCTGGCACAATTATAAAATTTATTGAATAATTATTTTTTGATATTTAAAGGTAATTGATTTTATATTTAGTTTTAAATTGGTTTTGTATAATAAAGAAAGAGAAAGAGAATTTTAAAAATTTTGAAAAGTTTAGTATAATTGGATTGAGTTAAAATTTGGCTGGCACAATTGAACTGGAATTTAATTGGCATAATTAATTGAGCCAGGATTTAGCCAGAACAAAATCAATTAGCCAGGATGTAATTAATTGAGCCAGGTTAAAATTAATTGAGCCAACCATTTTTAACCATGAGCATGATAAGAATATTCATTAAACATAGTTTTCAACAATTCCAAATCAATATAGTCTGGTATAATCATATATCTATGATCTAATTCTTCCATTCTCCAATCAGTACATTCAATAAATTATCTTTTTGATGATATAGAACCAATAATCTTATAATTAATAATTTTAAAAAATTAAGAAAATAAAATATTATTAAAAATTTAAATTTAAAAATAATATTGTTAAAATTAAAAACATAAAAATAATTTATTTAAATAAAAAAATTTTTATATATACTTGAGTAAATTCACCTAATTTTGGTTGGCCAGTATATTTTATATCATTTTTAATATTTCCACATTAGCAGCAGGAAGCATGGGCAGACTTTTCTATAATGTGTTCCTCACTTTTACACCTTCGAGTTTTATACTTTTCTGGTTTTTTTAGACCTTTCTTGAGAACATATGACAAAAACTAATTAAGGAATTGGATTAAAAGCTTTCTTGTATATGGCTTTCTCATTAATTTTACAGCTTTAGTGCTTTTAAATTAACATAAAAAAAATTTAATATTCGGACGTCAATATAATTTTGATGTATTTTTACACATAGCTAGAACATCTTTAATTTTTTATAAATTGTCATAGTCAATAAATTGGGGGTCTTAATAATTCTAAGCTTTTTTAACAGGAATTTAACTAGTAAAATAATTGTATATCTAGAGAGGCTTTAATCTTTTATTAATCCTATAAATTACACTGTCTTTCTTATAAATTTTAAAATGACAGAAAGCTAGAACTGATAATGAAAAAATAAAGAATCTGATATAATTAAATGTATAATAATTTTTTTTTATATCATCATCTTTGATGTAAATTTATGTGCTTTTTTTTTACATCCTCAAGTTTGCGAGTTTTTAAAGCTAATATCATCAAATAAACCGATATCCAAAATATCATCAAATAAATCAACATTTGAAATATTATCAAATAAATCTTTAGATGAATGTGATGCAAATGTAAAGTGTTGTAGAGTGTCTAATTTTTTATTTAATTGTCAAATATAGAACTGCATAATATAATACCCTTTAGCATGATCTTGATACATTTTAGGTGCAGAAGAAGTTGGCTTACCACAAACTTTACAAGGAATGCATTTTTTAGATCTTCAATGTTCATAGCATTTTTTAAGATGTCAACACCCACATCCACAAATTTTACCAGAGTTGTGTATATAATCACAGATATATTTTCCAGACATGAGTAAAAGAAATATTTTTTATTTAAACAAAAGCACTGAATAAAGTAACATATAATAAAAAATACAATATTCAAAATGACAAATCACAAAAATATCGAATTTGTTTTAATTAAAGTGATTAGAGTTACATATAATCAAGATACCAAAAAATATGACAAATTAGGAATACTGATTGAAAATTAATAAAACATATACATATCAGATATCTAATATATGTATGTTTTATTAATTTTGACCAGTGGAACATCATATGCAAACTATTTAAAACATTACAGTAAAAAAGAGATTCAGAAGATCATGTTAGATATGTTGCAAAACAGCATGTCCCAAATGAGAAAATTTATAATGAAAGAAAAGCAGATTTCAAAGATTGATATAATGAAGAAGTATATGTTAGTCTTGAAAATTTATATAAATTATATTTCGAATTAGCTAATCAGAAAGAAGTTATAAAAAAAAGATCAAAGAAGAAGCAGATAATATTCTTCAAAGAATTCACGGCCTAGAAATTTAAATATTTTTAATAACTCTTCACGAACAAATGATTTCTTGAGACCATTATTATTTTCATCAATTAATCAATATAATATTGACTGATTTTTTTGTATTAATGATTCTTTAATATGATAAAAACAAGCAATTGATCATTTGCAATATATATACAAAATGACAAAATTGTTTATAAATATTGCTTATAAAATTACTGAAGAAAGAGAAGGTAAATATCTTTCAACAGAATATATTAGAACACATAATCATTTACAATTATACGTGTTACCCAAATTCCAAATTACTAGTATTTGGGATTTGGGATTTGGGATTTTGACAAAAAATACTAATCATAATTTGGGATTTGGGATTTGGGATTTCGGCATTTGGGATTTCGGCATTTGGATTTTGAATTTGGGTGGCAGGTATATTTACAATGGCAATGTAAAAATGGACATGAATAGTTTGTAACTTTTAATCATATTAAAATAAAAAAATATGGTATTCAAAATGGAGGAACTCTTTCCGCTAATAAATTACACCAAAACATTCAAGGAAAGGAAGTTCTTATAAAATAAATAAAAAAAAAAAGAAGACAAATAAAATAACAAATTCATCAGGAACGAGTATGGAAAATGGAAGCAGACGTCCAAGACGGTCAACAGCAATTTATGGAACTAGACTTAACGAGTTAGATACAACCAGAAGAACCCTAAAGTTAAAGGCAACAAGCAGTCTGGCTACAAGAAATATTATTGCAAATACTTATGGACCAAAAGCTAGTACAATAGCATACACAAGCAATTTGAACAAAGAAACAAAAACCACAGAGACAAATACAAATAACATGGAGTTATTACCAGTGAAAGAGAATTTATTATTAAATCAAGATAGTATAGGTGAAGAAAATACAGATAATAATATGAAGGCAATTGATAATACAAAAAAAGATGAAAAAGGTAAAGGAAAAGAAATTTTCATTGAAACAGAAAAAGAAAATAATGAAACAAGTGAGCAAAATATTACAAACACAGAAACAGATGATAATGAATTAGTAAACTCAGAAAATAGTTTTTTAAGTGAACATGAGGAATGGAAAAAAAAATTAATTTACAAAAGTATAAAGTATGGATTAAAACAGGAGAAGTTCATGGAAAAAACTTAAAAGAAAAAATTGATATGATATCAAATTTATTAAATAAAAATGAAATTAATATTATTATAATCAAAACTGAAAAAAATTTGAAAGATAAAAAACTATATATTGCAATATATCTGGAAAAAAAGGAAGATATGGAAAAGGTATGTAAAATCGAAATTGAAGAAATACAATTAAATGATAGGTCAACTCTAACAAGAGCAGCAATAAACCAAAATAAAAAAACAAATAATGAAAAAGGAATTAAGTTCTGGAATATACCAATTGACATACAGGAACAAGAATTTAAAAGTATAATAAAAAATAAATTTGGAAATGTAACCTTATGCAGTATAAGTACAAGAGGATTGTGGTCATCTGCAATAGTACAATTTAAGAAAGAAGATACAGCTGAAAATCTATTAATGGAATAGTCCCAAATTATTGGAGAAGAATTATGCAGAGTAATATTACCTACATATAATTTTACTGAATATAAGGAAAGAGGCAAATACACAGTAAAAATTATCAATTTACCACCTGATATTACAGCACGAGAATTATATAATATAATAAGTCTTTTTGATGCCAAAATATGCTATTTTTCATGAAATTTATATGGGAAGAAGTATACCTGCCACCCAAATTCAAAATCCAAATGCCAAAATCCCAAATCCCAAATCCCAATCCCAAATTACAAATCCAAATTATTTTTGGCACCCCAAATTATTTTTGGCATCCCAAATTATTTTTGGAATCCCAAATTTATTTTGGCATCCCAAATTAATTTTGGCATCCCAAATTAATTTTGGCATCCCAAATTAATTTTGGCATCCCAAATTATTTTTGGCATC